ACACTCCCCGCTTCTGCTCCTGGCTGTGTGCCGGGCCGGGGCTTCCTGGTCGGCTCACCGACCCACCGACTCCGTTTCCCAGACCTCAAACCCTGCAGCCGGCCCTGCTCATCTTTTTAACTTCTGTTTGCTGAGCTGGGACTTCACGCGGTTGCCCAGGCTGGAGTGCGGTGGCGTGATTTCCACTCACCACAGCCTCAGTTTCCTGGGCGCAGGCGATCCTCCTGCCTCGACCTCCCGAGTACCTGGGACTACAGGTCATTTTTACATTCTTGGTAGAGACAAGGTGTCATTTTGTTGCCCGGGTGGTCTCCAACTCCTGGGCTCAAGCAATCCTCCTGCCTCGGCCTCCCAAAGTGCTGGGATTGCAGGCGCGAGTCCCCACGCCCGGCTTATCTTTTTGCCGCCAGCCCTCATGGCGAGCCTGGAGATGGCCTTTGCCTCTCGGCCCCGTGGGCTATGGAGGAAGGAAGGACAGGCCGTGCGGTAGGGAAAGGTTGGTTTCACACCCCTCTGACCTCTGGCCCTGGCCAGATACCTGGTGGAGGTGCACAGCAGGGTGTGGGCAGCCATGTGGCCACTGTCCCTTTCCCGCCCACGTGACTGACAGGGCATGAGAAGGTACGGTCTCCTCCCAAAGCCCAGGAAGGAGCAGTGTCTGCATGTCTGTGACTGATGTTTTCCAAAGGCTGCCCCCAAGTTGGACCCCTCACTGAGTACCCACCAGCTTCCCTTCCACCATTGCAAAGGGGAACACACAGCTCTGTCGGCCCCGGGTCCCAGGCCCCACGCCGGTGGCCAGCAGGTGTCTGGCCCTCTTATCCTGGAGGGCTTGGGATGCGGGCCGTTTCTCCAGCTGTCGCCCTCAGCTGGGCTGAAGCATTTGCATCTGCTTGGGCCCACAAAGTGAGTTTGAGGACCTGGTGCTGTCCTCAGGCTTCTGTGGCACAGCAGGAGGCTGGCCCTCCCCAGCGGCCCCCACCCGCTGCCTCCTGGGGCATGCTGGGGCTGGCCGCGGCTGGGGTCTGGGGCCCGGCCAGCACAAAGGGCTCACGTCTCTGTTCCATCCTGCCAGGCCCCGGAGAGGGGCCACTCGGTGCTGGGGGTGGCAAGAGTGAGGGTGTTCAAGGCTGCTGGCCCTGCTCTGCCAGGGGACCCGCCCCAGGTCTGGACGTCCCCTGCCCCTCCCCAGCACAGGGGCCCAGCATGTGCTGAGCTGGACGCCACCCAGCCTGCCGCTGCTCTGGGTCTCATCACGATTCAGGGGAAGGACACGCAGGGGCCAGGCCGCACGGATGCCGGTGGCGAGTGCTACGCGAGCTGGGCACTGGCTCTCTGGCTGTTTCTGGGCCCGACCTGGGGAGGCCGAGGACACTCCCCGTTCTCCGCCAGTTCTTCAGTGAGGGCCACCCAGGCCCAAGAACACAGGCTCCAAGAGCCAGCTCAGTGGTTTGGTGCACACGCAGCCACACGTGACCTGACTCGTGATGGGCTTCAAGGAGATAAAAGGGGTGGAACTCGGGCTGGCTGTCGGGGGCGCCGCCTGGGGCCGCCACCTTGCCCCGCCCCTGCCGGCGCCCCGGCCCGCCAGGCGCCTCTGTTTCCAAATACGCCTGCTGTAATCCGTCCTGTTATCTGACAGGTGAACCGGGTCTATGTGATTTTTGATCTGCCGACCACCGTGTCAATGATCAAGCTGTGGAATTATGCGAAAACACCCCATCGAGGGGTGAAGGAGTTTGGCGTGAGTACTCATTAGCTGGGTTTCTGGAGATAATTATGCTCGTTGGTAATTAGGCCTCCGGCAATTATCATTTGTCGCAGTTGGATTTACTTCTCTCTGTTGCGGCCCTAGACACGAGTGCCTGGTCCTCAGACGCGGGGACGTGAACACACGAAAAGTGGCTTTGCTGTCACCATGTCCTCTAGAAGCCCGCTGGGTGGGGCAGTGGCCCTGGGAGGGGCGAGCGGGAGCCCTGGGGGCCAGCTCGGCCCCTCGCGCCAACGGCGCTTAAGCTCTCCGAGCCTGTTTCCTCATCTGTCATGTGGGGCTGACTGCACCTTTCCCAGCGGGTTCTCTCGGCTTCCAGAGCAGGGCCGGGCTGGGCCTGGGTCCGAGGGGGGGGAGGGGGGACCCACCGGCCCCGCCCCGCGTGCGCGCAGCTCCTGGTGGACGACCTGCTGGTGTACAACGGGATCCTGGCCATGGCGAGCCGCCTGGCGGGGGGCATCCTGCCCACGTGCGAGCCCACCGCGTCCCCCCACACCATCGTCTTCACCGGGGACACGGACGGCTGTTGCCAGGAGAAGCACGCCACCGCCAGGTGCGCCAGGCCTCCCCCACCCGGCGCGGAGGGCTGGCCAGGCAGGGAGCCCAGTCGAACCCGTCCCCCCGCCCCTAGGCAGCAGATGGAGGGCCAGGACGTCCAGATGACAGACGAGAACCGGGTCATCGCCAGCTCGAAGTGGAAGCCGAGTGCCGTGGACCCCGGTCAGTGGCGCTTCTCGGCCCCGCCTGCCGGCCGAGACCCCTCTGTCCGCCCAGGAGTGGCCTGGGGGCTGGGAGGGCTGGGGCGCAAAGCCGGGAGCCAGTGTTCCTGCTTCCTGCAGGCGCAAGCAGGGTGCTGGGAGGCGGGGGGAGGG